AATCTGATTATTACAAAGAAATGCGTTTAAAAATGGTCATAATTTGTACCTAAAATACTTGGTTTTACCCCGTCTAACATAAGATCTGTGAAAGCTTTAAAGACAAATTAACTAAATAATCAACTGACTCACGGAACAATCCTGTAGAACCTACCCTGAAATTTTGGCTGACTAAAGAGAAGCTAAAAAAAGCACTGAATAAAAAAAGAAGCACCAATAAACAGTTTACAATAATGCGGGAAGGATAGCCATCAGATTCAACCAAAATGTTGATGTAAAAAACAACTCCGAAACATTAGAGACAAAAGGAGAACGAAGTCCATGAGGTAAACACTATTTACATAATCCACTAAACTATGACTCGATAAAAGTAAAAAAAAATGAAAAAGCTCAAAAAATCTCCCTCCTCTTCCCATCATAAAGAGACTATTACTTAACATGCGCAGCAGTGTTAGTCGCTTCCTATCCTAATTTTTCATGTAACTGGATAAAAAACAGATCTAGTTCACTGAAAAGCCACGCATACAGCAATAAAAAAATAAATAAGCAAAAGTACGTTTATAAGATGAAGCGATGAGCCAATTAGAAGAGAGAAATATTAAGAACTATTTAAAGGCAAGAAGCAGAAGAAAGTTACTGAGAGAAATCTAATTTTCAAGATAAGATCATTCTTTCTATAACCGCACAAATATGACAACCAAATGTACAGAATCTATTCAGTCACAAAAAGGACTCACAAAATAAAGAAGATCAATAAAATAAGAAAAATAAAAATAATACCTATACTACAAGTAACAATAATATTTCTTTGAGTGAAACAATAATAAATCGTGGACTTCAATTCCAACTCAAAAAATAAACCAATTGCAACAAATACGCACAATACGATAGCATTAGTATATGAAAGCTAACCTTTGCAGGAAATTTCTTTTTCTACTTCCTTCTTTTCTAGACACTATTAATAAAATGCTAATCTAAATAATGCAATATATTTCGTAGCAAAACGCATCTAAGCTTCTGCTTCCATACAGCAATGCTATTCAGAAATTGAAATAATTTTCACGAGAAAAAATAAATCAAATATAGACCAGCACAAGTCATGTGAAAAAAAAACAGAAATAAATCTTAATCAAATAACGCTAGCTGGCAGTCTGTCAAAGGCGTCAGATGCCCGGTGGAAGACGTTCATGTTGGTGTTCACATGTTGATGACCACTCCCAACTCGTCGAACAACCACTTCAGACTGCCGGCGCAGTTTAGCCTCGTTCTTTGTCAACTCTTGCTCTGTACAATATTCCCGAGTGGCTAATGATCCTGTAATCATTGTCGATGCCAACGACCCACCAGGATTTCCGTGAAGTGCATCCGCACCAGCCTTCAGAAGGATGGATACACAATCTACCGCTCCAGCTGTCTGCGCATACCAAAGTGCCGAACGACCCATGTGGTCCAATATACGAGTATCAGCATTGTACTGTAAAATCATTTACGTCAATATTCAGCAAAATACAAAGAACGACAAAAATAAACAAATAAAACAGAAAAAGGAATTCAAAAAAAGCTGCTAGATCCAAATACCAACTTCCATCACAATATTTTGCCACTAGATTCCTTTAATCCACCTGCAGTTGTATAATAACAGTAGTAACAACAATAATAACCATTATCATACCCAAACGAGAAGTTGTGTACATGCTGCAGACGCGTTCGAACAAGCTATATGTAGAGCAGTTCGTTTATCTGACGCATCTACCGTTGTTCGCATCTCAGCTTCACCACATCGTGAAAGTATTGGAAGCAAAGAGGTAAGATCGTTGTTGAAAACTGCTTCCAGAAGCTGCTTCCCGAGTGGCCGATCAGGCGGAATTGGTGGAAGAAAACGTTTCGCTTCATATTTCATTTTGATCCATCCCTCCTTCTCCTCTCTGCAAGGATTTATTTTTAATCGCTTGTGATTTCAAATCAGACTGGCAAATTTACTTTTTTAATTATTTACTTTTAAGGGAATAACAGAGAAAGACAAACAACTAAATGATCTAGTACAACAGCTGTAGCACCTCGAGGAATCCGGAGTTGGCCGTCTTGATGCCGGGGCATTGAATTCCCATACAGAATTTGCCTTTTTGTTTCCAATGGCCTCCATAACCGTCAAATATTCAACCCTGTAATAAAAGAGAATTACTGTTATAACCATATACAAATAAAAAATTACAATTCAAAAAATGATGTAAATCCAAAGAGCAAAAATGAAAAACGACTCCTTCAAAAGTTTAAGCACGTACGGCCAAGCATCTAGGTCCAACGAGCGAACTCGTGAAATATGAGATCCAAGATTCCGATGAATACCAGAGCATTCAATACATATCAAGGTACCAAGGTTCAGCGATGCCCAGTCTGGCCTTGGTTCACCACAATCCGCACATTCACCATTGCCAGGTAGCTGTCTTAAAGCTTGAACCTCGGCTCGATCGCCATGAGCACGATTATTGGACTGTTGTTTTTGGCTTGTTTGGGCCTGCAGTGACTTCTGAATGAGATCTTCAATTGCCGCTACCCATTCATCTCTCTCCTCCACTGAGGTGGCCGAAAATTCCCAGCGTTTCTGGTCGCATGTTACAACTTCAAACTCACAGTCCTCGTCTAAAAATCAATTAATTGAAAAAGATTACATAAAAATACATATAATTACCAAAAAATCCACCTTAAATTGAAAAATCTTTGTTAACGTCAAATTTTGAACTGTTTACCATCTTCATGATTCTTTATTCCAGAACCGAGCCGGCGATGACCTTTTTTCTTCTTGGAAACAGCTGCTGAATTTGGCAGCGACGAATGAGCATTCGAACTGCTAGTGCTTGCAGCTAAATGCTGACCACATGGTGCTTGCTGGTCATCACTGCCGCCAGAAGTACCTAAAAAATCAACTGCATTACTTGTGGTAAATTAAAAAGTTAGGAATCTTAAAAAGTCCACAAAAAAGCCCAGAAAACCAAAAAATCTGCTAATTACCCTCGCCAGGTGTACTTTGACCTCCTCCAGTCCCAGGAGTACCGTTACCAAGACAGTCATACGCTGTCACCATCCCTGTAGCTCGTCGAGCGGCAGCAGGATCGAATGACTCCCGTTTGGAAGTACTTTCCTTTACGGATTCTAGTTCTCGAGTGGCACTGATCGGTTGAGTTTGAGATCTTTGAGCGCCTCGTAAACGCTGCCGCCCTGACACGCGTACAGTGGCTAAACCCAGATAAACCTCTTTCCCACTTGAATCTTTCTCCATATAGTCCTGAATAAAATTGAATTTTCTAAACTTTTTACAAAAATTTACGAATATACTCGATAAATAACAAAAAAACCATCCAATTAACACATGAAATAAAAAAAAAAATACTTTCAACGTTTGGTGATACGACAGCCGCCCATTAGAATGAAGACATACATATTTCTTTTTCCACTCTTTATTCAATGTCTTACTACTCCGCTTATAAAGGTGGCCCTGCTTTACTGGTATTGCTCTTCCCACACCCATATTTGTGTCCTGTATGGCTCTTTGCACCTTTTCATCATGATGTAGGTCCTTGGGTCGTTGCTAAAAATTGATAACAGTCCAATTCTCTGTACAATTAAAGATTTATTCTCCAAAAAGTAAAATTGAAAATATTTTTGAGAAATTTACAAAGAGATTTGATATGCGTCGGTTTTTGCGTTGTGCAGTTGGCGTTGAAGATGGTGTTGGAATGTGACTTGTTGATGAGCTCGGCTGGGCAGGAATATGATTATCAAAAACCTCGTCTTTTAGAAACTCGGCCTGGTCCAACTGAGCGGGGTGGATGTTATTAGAAGTACGCGAAGCGGAATGTTGTACATAATTTGAAAATCCTAAAATTAATGAGAAAAATAGAAGAGCCAAATAATCAAATGACTAATTAAAGGTAATTGAACGATACTAATGTACCATTTGTAGAAGCAATACTATTGGAACTATGTGCCGGGGATGGAGCAACACAATCAAATGCAGTAGACGAACGCTGCCATTTGCTCATCTGCGATACGGGTAGATTTGGGGTTGCAAATGTTGATAAGGATCGTTCAGCACCTCGTGTACCTACGAAAATTCTCGTCTGAACTCAACGCTTTCCGTAACAAAATAATTCACATACTTTAACAGTAAAACAATAAAGATAACAAGGCTGCTCTGTTCTAAAATCTTCCGATCGCACTAATCAATTAGATATCTTAAATTATTTCAATTAGCAAAAAAACCAAACAGCTCTCCATGAAACCCAATTCCTTAAACCAATTTGATAAACTAACCGACTACAGTTGCATTATCACGCTGATAAACATGATTTGACGCTGGACTAGCTGATGGCTGAAATATTGTTCCGTTACGTCTAGCCGAGTCTGCACCGTGTTCTTGGCTTGGAACTGCCGATACGGATCGCTGATGATGATATGTTTTACTGCCAACGTAAACGTTATTGCTTAAGTGATTAATATCCTTAAAAACACATGCAAGTAAAACCAATAAAATGTAGCGACAATGAAGAGAATGGTAACTAAAATGTAAAGGAATGTAATAAGGATTGTTTTGAAATTTACAACCTAAACACTGCCAAAAAACAATAAATCAAACTTTAGTTCATGAATCATTCACACACTACACGCACGCTAAAGATATCTTCATCTTCCATTTTCTTTACTAATAAAGCAGAAAAGAAACTATTATTGTCTTTTAAAATAACTCCTGAGAATTAGAAGTTAAAAACAGTTAAAATAGGCCTACTTGATAATTGTTAACCCGATGGTCCAAATTATTGCTGCGCAGCCCACTTGCTGTCGGAGTTGGAGTCCTCGCGTTACTGCCAATAACACCACCGAATAATCTTAGCCGTTGCTGTATGATCTTTTGACAAGCTGAAAACACACAAAGAAACCTGTATTTATCCGCAGTTATTTCTTCTTTTTGGAGTAAAATAGACAGGTTCTACTAACAGTTTAATTTATTTTTTTCTTCAAAAAAATCATTTTTCTTCTTGCAAAAGAAAACTGTCTATTTTTCCCCTCATTAATAAATGTTTATTAAAGCTAATTGTAAACTGAAAAATATAACTGTGATATAATGAAAAATAAAAAAGTCAATTCAAAAAATAAATAAAAAAATAAAAAAAATGCTTTTTTATCCTTACGTCTAGCTCTTTTCAAAATACACTTATGAAAATTAGATGTAATGTAAGA